GTATATGTTAGATCATGTGCATGTGATTTTTTTTCATTTGATCTCATTAGTGATAGTTTTATTTCTAATTTTAACCTTTTCTAGAGTTTTCATTCATTTTAACACATCAACACATTGACTACTAGTAGTAATCAGTTGGCTATTTTCCTAAAGAAAGTCAGAGCCTGTACTAAGGAGTACAGGCAATAAGAAATATTTTTACTGTAACAATGTATTATATGGCTGTATAGTTTTCCCTAATGAAGGTCGTATCTAGTTTTTCTGACATTTTGATTGCTATCCAAAATGTATTACGATACCATAAGTTCTGTTCCTGAGTGATGTTGTGGTGTATCTCATCAAGCTTATTTTGCCTAGACAAATACAACAGAAGTAGTCAGGTAGATGGAAATCCTTCCCTTGATCTCGTTTTCTAAAGACTCTAGCCCTGTTTTTTGTAGGGAGAGTATAAAATATATAATGATGCACTATGATGGTCAGGCAGCTTTCATCCTGAGATGATTTTTTTAAATTCCACAATTAACTTGAAAATATCTTACATAAAGAATGCCTTATGATAGCTTGGTAGTCTGTTTTTTCAGCAAAAACGCTATTTCAGTTTTATTCCTCTCAAAGCTATATTTTTTTTTTCCCCCTGTACTCAGGAGACCATTCTGTTATTGATGTCCATTCTCTCTTTGAGTGGGATGTTCATCGCATGGAAGAGGCTGCATATGTATGAAATATTTTTAGGCACAGAAAATTATGGCCTTGTGTTGGTTCTATCAGTCTTCTCCTTTTCTTCATATAAAAAGTGTGTGTGTGCTGTGCAGTTTATTTGTGTCTGTATGCAAACATTTTGCACAGAGCTTTTATAAATTGGGTGATTCTTTGCTAACAAATCTGTGAAGAGATGGTAGTTCTGTCGTGATGCACGCACACAGATGTATTCAAGTGCCAGCTGTACAAGGCATCTGTTATTTTTTCTTCTATCCCCACACTGCAACAATCAAATGAAAAAAGCTGCAAGAGCCTCAGTATAATTGTATATTTTATATTTACTAATGTCAGCATGTTGAAGTAGTTGATTGAATTTGTGCCCATAATCTTTAAAGTTTCAGTTGAAATCTCCGCATTAAGAAGCTAGTTTAATAATTAGGATATATAACAAAAATTTGTTGATAAGCTGTGTGAGTTATTTCCACAGTTTTGTTTGTGACAGGCTTAATGGTGTGACCAAACTGCAAAAACCAGCATTTTCACAGTCCTGTCCTAATCTCTCCCCTTTGCATAGCCATCATTGTTGCACTGAAATATGGTCAGAGCCTTTCTCACCAACAAGACTTGCATGAACCTTCATTACTTTATTTTATCAGAAGAAAAGATACTTCTTTAACTAGAAGTCTCCTTATTTTAACTTCATTACCTTCATAGAGTAATAAAATAATGTATGTAGTATAAATGATATGGAAGCAAATGAAACGTTCGTCATCTTTTCCTCTTAGCAGCCTTTGGTTCAGAGTCATCCTTAAATGATGAGCTGAAAGGAGTAGAGAGGTCTAGAATTTAAAAGCCATATGGAGGGCTCAAAATTGGGTCCAGCTTTTTTAAACTATAAGAACATAAGACCTGTAATTGAGTCTGATTTCTTCTACAACCTGGGTCATATAATTCCCTGTTTGAAGAAGACTGACCATTATGAAAAGTTCAATGGAGCTGATAAAGCGTTAGAAAAAGCTGTGTTATGCTGCAGCTCTGTGGTAGGAGGTTCTAGGTTTTGCAGCCCTATTGCACATCTTTTGCTGGGCTGTTTCTTGTTTCTACTACCTTTCTTGCTCCCGTGTTTGTTAGACCTTTCACCAAGCCCTTTTGGTGAGCTAACCTGGGGGTGAATTCCCTTTGGAGGAGAAAGAAAGAAAGTGTTACTTTTCTGCCGCTGGTTTAGTGTGCTAAAATGGGTCAATAGAGAATTCATTGCATGTGAGAGCCCATGGGAGGAAGGGACACAACCTGAGCTGTAGGCAGCAGTTGCCCTCAAATGAGGGAGGGAAGGAGAGCTATTATTACTGGTTGCAAGTACATTTGGCTAATTGGGGTACTCTTACTATTTTTTAATTGCTATGGCAGAGAAATGAATGCTTACATCTGTTTCCGTAATCCTCATTCTCCTGCCTTGGGAGAATTGATCTGCAAGCTGAGGAGATACAAAGGAGCATAAAGAAAGATCATTCAAAAGGCTCATGCTTTCAGAAGGGCTGAAAAATAATGACTTTGGAAAATAAATCCTATTCTCCAATGCAGGAGAATCCTTGCTGTATGGTATTCTGTTCAACAATGAAATGAAATTCCTTGATTTCTTTTTTTTTCCCCCCTCCTCCAAAATAACATGTCATCAAGTTGTTACTAAGGCCTGATCAAAACAAGAATTTGACATTATGCATACCAGCATTGTATAATTTCTCATTAAGGTACACAGCTTTTGGAGTAGAATTTATAAATTGAAATTAGGCTAATTCAATTATTGCTCCTATGTCTAATGAATGGAAAATACTCAATAGCAAGCGAGATTCATAACAACCATTGCTTTGAGCAAGGAGAGGATTAAAATAACCAGGAGGAAATGCTAAAAAGAGGTTTTTTTGTGGTGCTTGAGTGTTTTGTTTTTGTTTTTTTTATTTAATCTCCCTTACTTGAAAAGATTGCCAAAGAAAGAGCAGGGGCTTGTGTTTCTACCCTTTTATGTTGTAGTTTGTGGATGCAGCACTTAGCCATGAAGCAGGACTTTCTCAGAAAAGTGTCCTCAGCTATCTGAAGACTCATGATACTGCTGAGTCTCTGTGCAGCTGGGAACACAGTCTTTATGGAGCAGGAAGGGGAGTATAAGTATGCCTTTTTGGCTGTTGCCACTTGTTTCTCCTAATTGGGGCCTAGGACCTTCCTAAAATACACTTGACCTTCACCTTGTATTTATTTGGTAGGGAAATAGCTTGCATATGAATTTGTGATTGTAGACTGCCATATTCCATGGACTGAAAAGAAGGATAGGGTGTGGAAGAAGGACTTTGATTTGGAGGGAGTGCTTTTGACCCAGTCCATTCTACTTCTTTGTTATTAGCCAGAATTCAAAAATGATTCGTTTTTAGCCAGTGCTGCTTACAAAAGTATTGGTAGAATGTTCTTGTCACAATCAGCCAAAATTAAGGTATGATATTCAGATTGCTTATTTGAGTGACAAGTGTATTACCCTTAATTCTGTATATATCATACGTAGTAAAGCTACATGTTCTTGGAGCTTGAAATGTTCTTTGTCAGGGCATCAGGTTTACCTTGTTCTTAAACATGTTCCCAAAGAAAGCATGCTTGGCCTGAGCCATATTTTTAGTTTGTTACTCTCAGCATCCTTAGCGTTGAGAAGATCTGCCATGGAGTTGTATAAATGTCAAGTCAAATGGTCAAAATGGCATAGTTATCTTCAACATGGGCTTAGCTGATACCATTACTATTTCCATATATGCTAATATAATTTTGGCTGTATCGGCTTTTGTGATTTTTGAAATGACAATCTGTTGTACCCATCTAGGAAAATAATAATTTCCTTAAGTAATATGTATATAACCAAAATAAGTTTGTAGATGGACCATTCTGTGACTTTCTGCATTTTCTAGCAGCAGTGGACTGCTAATGTAAGGTAACTGGACTTGAATCTCACCGCTTTTAAAGTGTTTTTTGAAGGGTCTTTGAAGTGCTTAAAATAATAAATAGCACCCTCTAGTTATTAGGCTCAGTATGTGCCTATAAAAACGTATATTTTGGGAATAGTTTCCATAGGCAAAATGTCAAACTTATTTTTTCTATTATTTCTTTGACTGTTGTCTTTTTGTGCACCTATTGTATATTGTTTTTCTGCTGTGTGCATGTTGTATGAACCATTTTATTATAAACAGTTGGCAGTGGTACTCCAGTTTTCCAGAAGGTTCTTGAACAGCTTGAGCAGATCCAAAAGACAAGCAAGTGTTGTGGCAGGAATTGTGTTAAACTCTATAAAATAAAGCAGATACGGGCAAGGGGAAACACCCTCCTTTACCAATACTTAGTGTATGTTTGTACAGCTGGCAACTTGTGCTGCTTCATATTCCTTGACCTAGAAGTAGCCAACATTTTAATGCATTCTTGGAGGGGGAAAAGGTGTTATGGAAAGGAACTGCCACATCAAAGGCTCTCCTCAGCTTGTAAAATGGTTTCCACCACTACCTTCCTCAACCCTATTGGAGCACTCGGCACTTTCTTCCTCTCAAAAGAAAGCATGCCTTTTTGTTAAGAAATGGCCTTAGAGTTTTATTTATATTAAAATGATAAAAGTGACACAAAGCAGTTGAAAAGATCTGTAGTTCAAACAAAAGTTTGTCAAAGATATAATGTCAATTCTGTATAATATGTCTATATCAAATTGTCATGATTCAGCTGTTGCATATAGTGTGGTAAGTACGCCCTTTATGAAAGTGGTTACTCTGCACAGCATTTTTTAAATGACTAGAATAGCCTCTAAAGCTTTGTACTTGTCAAATGATTTGTTTGCTGGTCAGATCTGCCCTTCCGAAGTCTTATTTTGGTACTAGGGGAGGTAAGTGCTCGATTCATGGTTGCGCAGAAAAGGTTCTTGACCATTGCAAATATCGTAAGTCAGTGTGTAATCATGCCTTCTCTAAATGTAGAAGACTTCTATTGTCCCCTTGTTTTCCAGCATTCTGGTCATATTGCTGGATTTTTCATTTAATGTTTTAAATAATACAGGTAGGCTTGTTTTGTCCTGCT